AACCCTCCATGCACTCTTGCCCCCTGAGCTGTCTTCCTGTTTATAAATAGCCCTTCTATTCTCCCATGATTGTTCTCTCCAAGAAGTGTATATACCTTGGGTAAATGTTCAACTCATATACCTGTCTTTTGTTTTTCTGGAAGCCACAGGTGTGGGTTCAATTCCAGACCTGAAGGACAGCTAGGCCATAGTCTCAGTGGTTCCACCAGGCTCTATCAGACTAGCAAACCCAGTCCCTCCCCCTTTTTTTTCCCAAATGATTTTGAGTTTTGTTCCACATTGTTCTCCTTCTCTATCCAGGATCTCTTACATAGATCCCTTCTGAGTGGTTGGCAGTGGTAGCCAGGCACCATCTAGTTCTTCTGGTCTCATAGTTGTGTAAGCCATGGATCGCGTGGTGTACCAATCACTAGGAATAATTGTTTCCATGAAACTTTAGTTTTCTTCATTCTTCTTTGCTATGGATGAGGAGCGACCCATTGTTGCATTCAGATGGCTACTTGCAAGCTTTTAAGATCCCAGTTGCTATTTGCCAAAGTGGGAGGTAGAGCAATATTTTGTGTAGTATTTTATGCCAAATGAGCTTGATGTCCCCTGAGAATATAGTCCTGAGCCCATAGGTTCAACCACTCGGTCCCTCTGGGTAGCTCACTGTGACCAAGAAGTGACTACAATCTTGTCCCTTGTCAGCTCTATTATACTCCTGGGAATTCTTACAGAACATACAAATACACTTGTAGAATGATTGTCTGCCAACCCTATACATGGTCTTGGGTACACTCCCCACTGCATAGACATACCTAAGAGTCCAGCCTGTCCACCCATCTATCCACCTGTATACCCATGTTTGCCTTCACTGACAACGCAGTGCTGTATGTGCAGAAGGGTTCGTCTTTGTTGTCTGTACCTCCCATGTACCACTCTATGCTATGTCTTTCTCTTCCTCAATGCCACTATGTTGATCACTCACATTTGGTACATCGCCCTTCTCTTCATCCAAATCAATACTTATCTCTAGCTATCTAACAGTGTTCCCTCCCCTCCCTTCCCACCCTGGTAACCAACAAAGAAAATTTCCTTCCACTTAT